CACCAGCAGTTCCTCGTGAGAAAGACTGGACTTTCTTCTCCGGGAAACAGTTTCTGTTTCAGAAACCCACAGAGGGTGGTTTGAGAGTCAGCACTGACTCCATGGCAGTGAGGTTGCTTTTCTATGGCTGTTATACATACATTTTTCCTACACTGGCCGATTGATAAGCATGCTAAAGCAGGCTTATTATGAACAGAAAAGTTCAGGCCTTGAAAAGTATAAAGTTTTATACCAGTGTAGTCTCTGTCCATTACCATGATTATGTCCAGATTTGAATCCATCAAACGCCAGGATGACATCCAAACACCAAATAATTTCTTACACTCATAGAGGTCCGTCTAGAGCAGTGGACATGGTGGGATACATCAAAACGAAACTAAGTGATCACACTAAGTACCTTGACAGGTAGCAACAAATGCTATATAAATCCCTTTGGGGCTCAGCAGGGGGAGTCTGATCGATTTTACCTGGATCCCTACACCAAGAAAAAAAAAGCCCCGAGGGCTGAGTTGATTATGCGTTGAGCTGCTAAACGCAAGGTCAGCGGTTTGAAACCACCAGTGGCTGCTCAGGAAAGAGATGAGGCTCTCTACTCCGGTAAAAAGCTACCATCTCAGAAACCAAAGGGGCAGTTCTCCCCATGAGTCTGAGCCACCTCAATGGCACTGGTTGGTTGGAAGTACCAAGAATGGAATCCAAGGTAGGAGAATCGAATTATTCTCTAGTACAACGGATGACGAGATCGGTATGGCTCAATTCTAGAAATCAAGGCTCTGAGCCTTGTCTTAAGCAGTAGGGATGCATACTTCTGACAAACTATGGTAAGGGACAAGGAGCCCCGATGGTAAGCGTGGGTTATGTGTTAGGCTGCTAACACAGGGGAGCAGTAGAAACCAGCAGCTGCTGCGAAGAAGACGGGGGTCATTCCACCCTGTCCGAGGGGCCGCTGTGAGTCCAAATCGATTCAACGGCAGTGAGTGTTTTGAGGTGGTGGGCGACATGGCTGTTCATGGCTCCTGGGTTTTTCCCGCAGGTGACTATGGTATGGATGCGACCAAGAAAAACAAACGAGATGGTACTGAAGTCACCGAAAGAAGTAAGATCATCCGATTTGTTTTTTATAGTCATAGTTGTTTCATTATCTGAAACCAAGCAAATAAATCACCCATAGTCGCCCTTTTCAATGTATTTCCAAGCCAGCAGTTCTCAATCCCGTTGGGGTCAAATGACCTTTTTACAGGGGTTGCCCGATTCATCACAGTAGCAAAATGACAGTGATAAAGTAACAACAAAAACAATTTTATGGTTGGGGGTCACCACAACATGAGAACTGTATGAAAGGCTCGCAGCCTTAGGAAGGTGGAGAACCACTGCTCTAAGCGGACTCTTCACTCCCTGAAGATGGATTGTTGAGATTTTCCCTTTAATACTCTGCCATCAGAATGTATCTTACTTTTTCTGTGAAGATAAAAATGAATTGGCATCTTTTTTTCCCAATCATTTTATTGGGGGCTCATACAACTCTTTTTTTTTTT